TCTGTGCCCTGGTTTGATTTTAAATTAACGTTTAATGTTATCAAGTACCACTCTGACCCGGGGATTCTCCCCCTCGGGCTTTATTAACTAGGATTCCGGCAGAAAATTTAGGCAGAGAAGTGAGTATTAAAAGAAATCCTGGACCTACAACTTTTAAGTTGGATATAAGCCTGAGCTGCAGGAAGCCATTGTGAGCAAGGTCACTTTCATTCTGCCACCTCAACTTCTATCAATTAGTTTATCAGCTGAAATTCTATTCTTGCACATTCTGGGATTTTGGAAGCACCAGCTCTCAATAAACACATTTGCTACTGCATTCTTTTTTTTTTTAAGTGAATAGCAACAACCCCACTTTCTTGGAAACACAAATAAAGAAGGACAGCCCCAGACAGGCACTGAGTTGGGTAGGACCCCAGAGAAGGAACAGAACGGTGACATGGAAGGAAGCTAGAGCATCCTAGGATGGAAGAAGCCACGGAAGCAGTGCTTGGAGATGAAAAAAGAAAAAAAAAAGCACTAGACTTCAGTCTAAATGCCCAGATCTACACCCACATCCAGCTCCTCAGACAGTAGCGAAGGTCAAATGTCGAGAGAGAGAGAGAGAGAGAGAGAGAGAGAGAGAGAGAGAATTGTTCTCTAGGATGCCATACCACCTCTACTTTCATCCCAGCACTACTGGTTTGGTACCAGAGAAGATGCTGTGAAACGAGATAGAATACTTGATGGAGGAGAGCCCCAGGCAAAGAGCAGCTCAAATCTTTCAGGGCTAATGTAAGAACACAAACTTCAGATCCCCCTCTAGTAAAGCTGAGTTCATATTTCTGGGCTTTGTTTTTGTATAAGACACCACACACACACACACACACACACACACACGCCTCGAAATATTTTTTCAAGCTAGAACGTATCCACATTTGTTGCTAATGGATTGTATTTTCACCACCACCTCTAGTCAGTCAGCTGGGCTCTGGGCTACCTAATCCTAGGAGTTGAAATTTGAAAAAGTCCGTGATGTCAGGGAGCCCAGGAAGGGTGGTGAAGGGCAGGCCAGAATAATCCATTAGTTGCAGCTTCCCCAGCCATTGGAAGAAAGCATTACCAGCCTTGACAGATGCATGCACGCAGCTCTGGTGAGCAAGCAGTTGGAAATGGGTTGCTTCAAAAGCACATACAGGATCACCAACTAAGTTGCTGTGCCTTCTCAATTTATTTCACACAATCAGAAATGCCCTGTAGTTTGAGGCTGCTGCTGTTGCTGCTTACTTTAGAGTAAAGCATCATAGTTTCTTTGGATTTATAATTACTCTTTCAAACCAACCTGAAGAATCCTAAGTGTTTGCTCCCTGCCTCCAGATCAGAGGAACTTATCAAAGAGATGGGGGGGGGTGCATACTCCTAAACCTTAGCAATACCAAGAAGCAACTCATCTACTGTCCATCAAATAAAGTCTATCTTCTAACCAAAGTCACTATTGCAGAGCCCTCTCCCTCTGTATAGGCCACAAAGTACAGACTGTGGGTAAGCTGACTATTTCAGAGTGTGAACGGTAAGAGAAACTGCCTATTTCCTGCTGCTGCTTTCCTGGATCGCCTTATCATCGTGAAATGGAAACAAATGAGGGAAAATACCCATCTCATGTTGTGCACATTTGACCCAGGTAATGGTCTACATTCTCTCGTTTGGCGAAAACAATTTCACAGTCCCCTGTAATTAAGCCTGTAGATTTTGCCCAGAACTTTCAATCTTAATTCATACCCACCTTGATTATTTCCAGCCCCAAGTCATGACAGACCTCTATCATGGTCCCTGTAAAGGAACAGCTCATCTCAGATTAACTTGTTGCTTGTCCAAGAATTCTTATTTTCTTTCACTGCAAGGTATATCAGTCTCTAGAAACCAGGAGGGTTCCCTCCACCTCTCTGTTCTTTCAAGAACATTTTCAAGAAAGGGGAGGGGGAGCAGCTGCTTAGACCATCACAGCCCCCAAAGAACGGTAACACACGAATGTTCCCTTAAAAAGAATCGTGAGGGTTTAACCAGTGTTTTACAATATGAATGAATTTTTAAAGTTTCTTTCCCTGTTTTTCCAGCCTAACTTCCTTGAGCAACCCTGGGCTTGTAAAGCAAACTAAGTTTTGGGACTTGTCCCACTCTGTGGATCTCCCCTGGATGTCTTTTGTCCGCAATGCAGAGCTGAGGAAGAAAGCAGTGTTTGTGCTCAAATTACAATTTCCTCAATTCTTCACTTGCATTTCCTAGCACCAACCTGACAGTGCATTTCCTGACTCCGAATGTGGAAGGGGTCCAGGGTGAAAAATTATATGCTTTTATCTGAGTGTCTCTCTTGCTTCTATGAAAGACTATAGGAATATAGTCTTTCCGACCTAGACGAAGTCGCAGTTTCTACCAAAATCAGTTTCAAAAAAAAAAAAAAAAAAAAAAAAAAAAACCTTATAGTTGAAGCCTGGCTGACTTGGAGCTGAGTTGAAAAGAAGCCAGTGGTGACACCCCCCATCCCCCAGTAGCAGAGCTATCAGAGAGGTCAGGCTTTGTGACACTCAGATACGCAGGTGCCTTCAGCTGCACTGTGGAAGCCCCCCCCCCCCAGTCACCCAGGCCTGTCGTAGTAACTCTCTAAATCTCCTTGGGAAAATTGTTGTTTGAGACAAGCTGACTAAATCCTCAGAACCAGCTAGGATCTGCCCTTCACTGGTTTAGGAAGTTTCCGACTTTGCTATAGGACTTTTTCATTCTTTGCTGCCGTTTTCGCTCGCAGTCCTCACCCCCCCCCCAAAAATCCTTGGTTCTAACACTCCTCTTTAACTGTCCTAAAAAGGTTCAAGTCCACAGTTACCTCTACCCTCTGTCTAGCTTGCATTTTCTTTTCTCTACAAAGCCTTTCAAGGCTGTTAAATCCTTCTAAAACCAGTAAGAGCTACTAGGTATCAACTGGAGTGAAACATCCCAGGCACCTGCTCCATCCTCAAGCCCCTGAGTTCTACACAACTGTGAGACTGTGTCCTGCTGAAACAGTCATTATTCAACATATAACACTTCAGAATTCATTTTGTTTTCTAGTCCGATTCCAAAAGGATAATCATCACCAGCCTGAAAGACAGTTTCTTAAGTTGCCTATAATATAACTAACAGTAATTCTTTAGCTGTTCTGTGTTTTTGTTTTTATTTTTACTTTTGCTTTTGTTTTTCTGCCTATTTTATATATATATATATATATATATAAAGCCCTAGTCACACTTCCCTGGAGCGAAAAGGGGAACAGTTTCTGCACTCTCTGTCTTCCTGGGCCATTTACAGGCATGGCTGGTGTGAGGAGAGATCATTGTCCTAGTATTTCAAAATCCTGTGTGGTGCAATCATTTCCCTTCTTCCCTTGAACATGCATAGAAAGGTAAGGGTGTTTGTTCTTCTGGCAAGTTCGTAAGGGCAGATTTGCTTTTGAACTGGCTACATTTTCCTGAGTGCCTGCTACGACGAGTCAGTGCGCCCCCTGCTGACTAGTCAACAGTATAGTGCTAAGCAAAGTTTATTTTGTTCAGTAAACCGTGTCATATAAAATTAACAACAACCAATAAAATTAGCTTATATGTTTCAACTGCAAAAGTCCAAAACAAAATAAAGCTAGTTTTAGTGGTCCTAGAAATCTCTAGCTTGCCTTCTCCTCTTTGGCTGAACCAAGGTCCTTTTATCTAAAGCCCAGTGCACAAACATATAGCTTAATGTGACTAGTGTTCTTCCTTTTATTTCTTTCTCTATGGCAACCAATATGCTCTGCTCAGAAATGTTCCCCATCAAGGAAACAAATGATCTTCAGGGAGCAGCTCTATATGGCATCTGGTCCAATGGAGCACACGGAGTTAACCCCAGTCAGATGCAAGGCTGTAAACAAGGGGAGGAAACCTAGTGATTCTCAGCCCCTCCCCAACTGACACCTCTGCCTCCCTCATTACAAACCACAGCATTGATTTAGCATCAACTGTTTCCAAATAAATTACCAATTCTAAATTGCAAGGTGTTCTGTATACAAAAGTGAGTATAATTCCAGACATTTGACTCCCCCACCCCCACCCCCCGCCACTCCCCGCCCAAATGTGGCTTCCTTCGAAAGATCAAACCCAGACCATTTTACTAAAGTCAGACAATCACACTGGCCTGAACTTGGCATAGCTATTTCTTTCGGCCACATTTATCTAAGTAAGTACACCCTTGAATTTTCCAAAAACCCGGGGGTAGTGATAAGGAGGGTTAGGTCTGACTGTCACAAATAGAAAGCGTATGAAATCTGGTACTTTGGATGCTAAAGCTCCAGCGTCCTTGGGGAGTGGAGAGCAGGGATGTCCTGGTTAGTTTTGATTGATCACCCTCTTTCTGATGGGCTTTTACTACTGAGCCAGGAGCTGCAGCTCACCGCCTGCTCCCCAGTTGCAGCATTAACCAGGGATACACTGACTTACTCCCTCGGCTCCCTCATTGCTTCCTCCTCTCTAGCCCTCAGTCAGTGGTTACCAGGCCCTCTTCCTCACTTGATCATACTGCTCCCCATCCGAACCTGGACAGACTCACAATTCAGTCACCCCACTAGCTACAGATCCCAGGCTTTTCCCTCTGCATCCTTGATTCTCTGGGGGAAATTCCAAACAAGAAATATTTATATACTCCATGCTTAGTAGGCACCTCTTTTCGAGGGGTTTACCCCTCCCATAATCAACAATTAAAATCAATAGCACTTTCTTGCTCTCACCCAGAAGAGTAAAGCTCTTGCTGTGAGGGCCTCTGGAACCAGTCCACCTTTTTATGTATTATTTTAGCAACGTCAGATTCCTTTTGCTCACTCCCTCCGACACACTTTCCCTTCCTCTCTCCTCCCAAGCAATGAAAATAAAGCTTCCAAACCTACAAGAACATAAATAAATACACCAGAAAGGACGGAAAGGGAAAGGAGAAAGCAAAGGAAGAAAATGGGAGGGGGGGAAACCACTTACCCAGCAAACTCCCAAGGTTAGACTTTTAAATAAAAGGTTGTTGTTTTTTTTTTTTAAAAAAATAAGGTGCCTGGAGGGGTAAAGGAGAAGGCGTTTTTCTCCACTCTCCAGAACCGGCGCATCCTTAGCCTTCCCTTTACACTGACTCCTCTAAGCCCAGTTCTCACTAGTCTATTATTTTCACCAAAATATATGAAAATGTATGCAAATGAAAATCAGCACTAACTGTTCTCCCCTTGTTATATACTTTGGATTTTTTTTTCCAGACAAAACAATCACACTCGGCAGAGGGAGGGGGCGGATGGGGTGGGGCGGGAGTGGGGGGAAGCTGGGGAGCGATTTGAGAACTAAGTATATGGAAGGGAGGGGAAAGGGACAGACCTGGGAACAGAAGTGCGTTTCTGTTATTGAGGAGCACAGCGTTTGGGGGGCTTCCCGAAAGCGCACACCCTCCGCGCAAAGGAAAAGTGGCTCTGTTTGCAGAGGCGCTATCCCGTTTCATCAGGCCACCTGAGACGGCTTTTGAAAGCGTGTACTGTGAAACTCATAGCAGTAATTTAGACAAAATCCTCACTGTATATTAATGAAAGGCGGCCCCATGGCTCTGTTCCTATCCTCCCCATTCAGTGTAAACAAAACCACGAGACTCTTTCGGTTTTTGAGCCGGATCCAAGCAAAATCGGCAGGAAAGGAAAACACGGGGTGCTGGCACCGACCATTCAAACGTCTGCACCTGGAGATCTCAGATTTATTCAATGAAATCTGTGTTCCATCTTTTATATATATATACATATACGCATACATAAATATAAAAAGGAACCTTTTGGGGAGGAGTGGGGGGAATCCGTTCTGTTTGGGGCTTTGGTTACTGCTGCCTTTTAGATCTGTTCCTAAGATGGTATCTTTTCACCCGGCAAGCAGGAGCTGGACCCAATCCTACATAAATGCTCCGCGTCTACGGTTAATCTCGAGATCACGCAGAGGCTGCGTGGCTGCTGCTGAGCTGGAGAGCTCCTACTGTAACTGAGTTCACCTAAGTGAGCTCGGCAGAGGAATTATGCATGGGGGAGAAGGCAGGCCAGTTCTTTATATTCGAAGCACACTGACCACCAGGTTACGTTCTCGGCTGCAGCTCGGGCTGGGACTGCAGGCTGCAGGGTGCAGGCTGCAGGCCGGTGCCCTGCAGCTGGGGAGTGCGGGTGCAAACACAAGCACCCTCATTAAGAGTCGTGTATTTATTGAATGTCCGAATTGGGTTAGTTCATTGGAAATCCCCAAGGAGGGTTTAATTTGCCCTTGTTTTCGTTGCCACTTTCTCTTTTTTCTTGGTTCGCTGAGGTTCCTCTGTGCAGCATTTCCGCTTGGCCGCGTCCCCCCCCCACACACCCCGCTTCTCCCGCCTACCGGGCGCACTCCTCCTCCCGGCCCCCTTAACTCTTTCAGCTGGGTTGAGGCTGAGAAAGCACTTGTCGCCAGCGTTCACAGCCACCGTGCAAACCTGAGACCCAAAGAAAGAGAAAAATAAAGCGTCCCCAAGCCCAAGAATAGCAAGCGAGTAATAACCACACCGACACACACACACACACACACACACACATACACACACACCACACACATACACACACACACCACCACCACCACCACCACCACCACCACCATCAGCGGTGGAGCGGCGGGGGAGGGCGCGGCTAGCGGACCCGAGCCCTCTGGGCAGGCTGTGGCAGTCACAGCATTCTAAAGGCATTGGGGTCGAATACACTTACGATGAATCTAGGGGGACGGTCGGGCTGATTGCCTTTCAAATACCTCGAGTGGCTTCGTTGACCAGCACCCTCCAAACTCACAAGGGCACGCACGCTACTTGCAAGAATCCCGGAGGAGGGTGGAAGGGAGGGAGGAAAGGAGGGAGAAGGAGAGGGAGAGGGGTGGGGGAGAGCGAGCAGCCGCAGCAAGCGGTCCGTCTCGCACGCGCGGGCCCCGCGCTGGTACAGGGCTGCAGGTTTCCCAGATGATGGCATCCGAGAACTTAAACAAAGAGGGTCGCCGCCGGCGCGCGACGGCTGCACAAAGTTGCAGTGGCGGATTTCCAAGAAGCTTGGCCACCGGAGCTCTGGGCGAAGCAAGCCTTCCTTTCCCACCTCCGGCAAGACGGAGATGGGGGCTCGCGCGGGAAGGGAAGAGGAAACTTTGAAACCATTGGGGACACATCTGTCTATAGGTATTATTTTGAACCGTACATCCGTGGCGCGCGCTTTACAAATCTCTGGCGTGGGGTGGGGGTGCAACACAACGCAGTCTAGGTAGAATGGGTAGACTGCTATTTTTCGTGATTTTTTTTCCCCTCTTCATTTTCCTTCAAACCCCCTTCTTCCCCGCCTCCTCCTTTTCTCTTCCCTTTTTCCCCAACCTCCCAGACCAATCACGAAGGCAGGGAGCCGCGGAGGCAACGCAGACGTTTGGGCCGGACACTAAGAGTTAAGATGTGGTGGAGGGGCGGAGGGGCGGAGGGGGGGGCGGGGGCGGCGGGGGAGGGGCGGGGAGGGGAAAGTGGCGCGGGGGAGGGAGGCTGGAAGACGACAGATTTCCAGCTTCTACGACGCTCTGCCTAAATTAAAAAGCAACCAATCGGAACGGCCGGAAGGGGGGCCGCGCGTCCTAAGCCAGTCATTCCAGGCCTGCCAATCACCCAGCGGGTAGCCAATCAGCGGGGGCCCTGGTGCTCGACTTCCTTGTATTTGGGAAAGTGTGGTGGTGGGTGCGCGCTTGCGGCGGAGGGTAAACATTCGACAGTCCCTGCTCTGAGAGGGAGGGACAGGGAGCGAACTGTCAGATCCTAGCGAGAAGGGGCGCTCGTGAGAGAGAGACAGAGAGAGACAGAGAGAGAGGGAGAGAGAGAGAGAGAGAGAGAGAGAGAGGAAAGAGAGAGAGAGAGAGAGAGAGAGAGAGAGAGAGAGAGAGAGAGAGGGGCAAAGTGAGACAGGGAGAAAGAGAGAACCCGGGCGCAGAGCTAGCTCCGGCTGCAACTCTGCCCCGGCACGCCCGCGCCCGAGCCCGCCGTCGGGCACTCTAGGAGCGGTACAACGTGCCCACAGGAGTTGGTTGTGTATCAAGGATCCCCTGTATGCACACACACATCTCCATCTCCACCAATGCACTCTTCTTCTTCCTCCTTCTCCAGACAACTGCCGGGGAAAAAATAAAACACCAACCCCAACCTTCAGCAACAAGGTAACAGAACAATTCGACATTTTTTCTTCCTGTTCAATTTTTGCCTTGTTATATTTGTTTCCTAATTTCTGCCCAAAAGGAAAGATGTCGCACCAGACCGTGACTGTTGCGAGGAAAATGAAAAGGGACTCTTGTTTCAGAGACATCCAAGAGCTCCGGCAATAGCAACTTCAGAGAAATGCATCATCGCAAGAAGTTTTTCTAGGACAGAACAAAACTTGAAAGGAGAGGACCAGAGCTGGAGAACAGGAGCCAGCCTCCCCACTCCGCAGACGCAAGCCGCCAATATCACCACTCCTGTAAGGACCGGAAAAGTTTTACTATGCTAAGGGGGAAACAGTGAAATGTCTTGCTGAAGAGGAGAGAAGCCAGCGGACCAGCAAGGAGCGGCCCGATTGCTGGCCACCCACAATTTGGCCGAAGAAGAAAGGAACCCTTTCGTCCTTTGTTGTCTCGCGTGAAACCTTTGCTTAGCAGGTGGACAGAGCCCCGCGCCGGGGCAGAGTCCGCACCCGCCCGAGGACGAGGACAGGAGGAACAACCCGAGCCCCTGCGCACGGAGAGAGCGCCCGAAGTACGGGTTCCCGCCCCATTGGGCGAGCCTCGCTGGAGCGAGTCGATTGCTCCCGGCCAGGGGGGAGACCACGACCCCCCCTGAAGGGGCTGGCCACGGAGCTCACCCCGAGAAGCGATCCCCCCTCCCCAGGGCGCTGCTCCTGCTGCGGCTGCTGCAGCGTCTGCTGCTGACCGAGGCCGGCCCGCGACCCCCGCGCCCTGCCGAGCGGCCTTGCAGCTGCAGCCCCGGGCCGCGGCGGCGGCGGCGGCGGGGGCGGAGGCGGCGGAGGAGGAGGAGGCGGCGAAGGCGGCGGGGACCCGGGGCGGGGGAGGAGGAGCGGGGGGAGGAGGCGGGAGGCGGGGGGGCGCGGCGGCGGCGGCGGCGGCGGCTGCCGCGGCTGCTGCTGCGGCGGCGGCGGTGGTGGCGGCGGTGGGGTGGCGGGAGCGGAGCGGCATGGCCACAGCGGCTTCTAACCCCTACCTGCCGGGGAACAGCCTGCTCACGGCCGGCTCCATTGTGCACTCGGACGCGGCCGGGGCGGGCGGTGGCGGAGGGGGCGGTGGCGGCGGCGGCGGGGCGGGGGGCGGCGGCGGTGGCATGCAGCCCGGGAGCGCCGCTGTGACCTCCGGCGCCTACCGGGGGGACCCGTCCTCGGTCAAGATGGTCCAGAGCGACTTCATGCAGGGGGCCATGGCCGCCAGCAACGGCGGCCATATGCTGAGCCACGCGCACCAGTGGGTCACCGCCCTGCCCCACGCTGCCGCCGCCGCCGCCGCTGCCGCCGCCGCCGCCGTGGAAGCCAGCTCGCCGTGGTCGGGCAGCGCGGTGGGCATGGCCGGCAGCCCACAGCAGCCTCCACAGCCGCCACCACCGCCGCCACAGGGCCCCGACGTGAAGGGTGGCGCTGGACGCGAAGACCTGCACGCCGGCACCGCGCTGCACCACCGCGGGCCTCCGCACCTCGGACCCCCGCCGCCGCCCCCTCACCAGGGCCACCCTGGGGGCTGGGGGGCCGCCGCCGCCGCCGCCGCTGCCGCCGCGGCAGCAGCAGCAGCCGCTCACCTCCCGTCCATGGCGGGCGGCCAGCAGCCGCCGCCGCAGAGTCTACTCTACTCCCAGCCTGGAGGCTTCACGGTGAACGGCATGCTGAGCGCGCCCCCGGGTCCCGGCGGCGGCGGCGGAGGCGCGGGTGGTGGAGCCCAGAGTCTGGTTCACCCGGGGCTTGTGCGCGGGGACACGCCCGAGCTGGCGGAGCATCACCACCATCATCACCACCACGCTCACCCGCACCCGCCGCATCCGCACCACGCGCAGGGACCCCCGCATCACGGCGGCGGCGGCGCGGGGCCGGGACTCAACAGCCACGACCCGCACTCGGATGAGGACACGCCAACATCTGACGACCTGGAGCAGTTCGCCAAGCAGTTCAAGCAGCGGCGCATCAAGCTGGGCTTCACCCAGGCCGACGTGGGGCTGGCTCTGGGCACGCTCTACGGCAACGTGTTCTCGCAGACCACCATCTGCCGCTTCGAGGCCCTGCAGCTCAGTTTCAAGAACATGTGCAAGCTCAAGCCACTGCTGAACAAGTGGCTGGAGGAGGCGGACTCGAGCACCGGCAGCCCCACGAGCATCGACAAGATCGCGGCCCAGGGCCGCAAGCGCAAGAAGCGGACCTCTATCGAGGTGAGCGTCAAAGGCGCGCTCGAGAGCCACTTCCTCAAGTGCCCTAAACCCTCGGCACAGGAAATCACTAACCTGGCCGATAGCCTGCAGCTGGAAAAGGAGGTCGTTCGGGTCTGGTTCTGCAACCGGCGCCAAAAAGAGAAACGCATGACGCCCCCGGGCATCCAGCAGCAGACGCCGGACGATGTCTACTCGCAGGTGGGTACCGTGAGCGCTGATACACCGCCACCGCACCACGGGCTGCAGACCAGCGTACAGTGAAGGCCGGGGGGGCGCAGCGCGAAGAGGGCCGCCGCCGCCGCCACCTCCGCAGCCGCTGTCAGCACCGCCGCCAAGGTCGCCACCGCCGCCGTCTCTGAGCCGCCGCCAAGAACCGCCGCTGCTGCTGCTGCTGCCGCCGCTGCCGCCGCCGCCGCTGCCGCTGCCGCCGCACAGACCCAGCACCTGGCCTGGGCCAGTGCGTCTCGGCCGCCTCCCCTCTGCCCAAAGACAGGTGTGCCAGGGCTCTAGGAGGAGGGGAGAACGACTGGGGAGACACCGACCAAGGAGACTCTTTTTGAAGTCCAAGGAAGGAGGGACCAAAAAAAAAATTAAAGCATAATAAATACCAAGACTGTTTTATATGCATATATAACAAACAAAACCGGAAGAGGAAAAGGGGGCAACCGGGACATCTCGTTTATACTCTGGTGGTGTTTTGTTCTATTTTGAAAGAAGGTTGAAGATGCCTAACGCACCGAAACTGCACTCTTGAGGTACTGTACACCCCGAGATGTCCTTCATGGCATCAGTGGAGAACACCTGCTTCGTCCTCCCCTCTGAGACAAGAGAGACACTCCCCTCCCTTTCTTCCACTTCTTCCTAAAGGGCTGCCTAAAAGATCCATGGAAACTTTATTGGGAGCGACCTGAAAAGAAAGATGCACCAGGTTTCATGCAGGTCTGACTCTACTCCAGAACAGTGTTTTTCTTGGCCATATTAAAGTCTTTGGGGAAAAAAATAAATCAACTATGAAATGGGAAGGAAGGAGAAACAGAGTCTGGGACGGGGGAGAAGATTCACAATTTCTGAAGTTCACAGACTGAATAAAAAAAGCCAAAAGAAAGCATCCTCGCGGTAACCTTGGAAATAAAAGCAGCGCGAAAGAGCCCGGGCTGGGCGAGGCTGAAGGCCGGGGCGTCCAGCCGCCAGCGGGGAGGGCACAACAGCGGGGGCCAAGGCCCAGCCTTTGAGACCGCCCAGAGAGGCCAGGCCACCGCCACCGAACCCGGGCTTTGCCGACTGCCACTCGGGGTGGACCATGCCTAAAGATTCCACCGCTAATATTTTTTTTATTAACATTTTTTTATTTTTTATTTCTGGACTGACTCCGATAAAAAAAAAAAAAAGAGTGTGGAAAGAGAGCACCAGCCGCCGCACTTCCCTTGACTTCTGCCCTCAATCCGTTGCCAACTTTGATTGAATGGGTGCTGCGGATGTGATTATGTAATACTGCCATTTCCAAGCAGTGTTTTTGGTAGGTTTTAATAAACAGACTTTTCAAATGACGGCAATATAGAATCGTTAGATCCGTTGTTGATCTAAAAATATTTGCTTTATATTTTCATTAAATGACTTCTTTTAATATTTTATTCAGAATACTTATGAACTGCTGCAAAACGGTAATTTATTTTTCCCCAGATCTTGTATTACGTGTTTTTTTCAGACGAGCACAAATCAAAATGAAATGAAAATATGGACAGTTGTTAGGTAATAAGGGTATCTTTTGATGTGATCCTTTGATTGTAATTTAATTTGAGTAGTGATTCCGTAAGAGCTGATTGAGAAAATAAATTTGTTAGAATGAAATAGTCTGTGTCTGATGCATCAACACTGTGTGGGAAGAAGAGTTCTCTAGAAAATATTTTTTTACTAATGGAGATCCTTAAGTCGTAGAGCATCAAGGGAGCAGAGCTTCCCCCACGCAAAGAACAGGCTAGGATTGCTGAAAACATCTGTGCTTTAGCAATAGAGGTTGTTCACTCCTTGTTGATCCATACATTTCACAGTATTTTCCTTACCCTCAGCTTCAGTGTCTCTAGTGTTTTTTGCTGAGCGATCTATAACTACTAGCCATTTTCTTGAAGGTACCTGTTTTGAATCGCATGATTGAGCTACATCACCACTGAAAATAAACCCACCTGGTCAATCATGGTAAATACAACCCCTCATAGTTCAGTCTCTCTTTTTTTCTCTCTCTCTATCTTCTTATCCTCCAATATATCCCTGTTTCTTTTTTTCCCTAAAGATCAATAGTTGCAAAGGATAGCTTATAAACCATTGAAGTATTTTAATATCAATTACTCCCCATTGCTACCTATATGTGATTAAATTTTGGTTATTAAGCTTATGGTAAGCTTTTCTTATTGCTTTCATGAAAGAAGACCTTGCAGAGAGCCCTGCTTGACTCTGTACTTGGATGGTCACCAGCTCAGACTGGAGGCTGCCCATTTCTGTGGTTTGGTCCTCTGGAAACTTGGTTCTTCACCTTTTCCAGTGCTGTGAGGGCTTTAGCTTTTTGGGTCACTTTTTAGATCAGCCCCTGCAGAGTGGTCACATTAATCAAGTTAATGTATCAATATTTACAACAGGGAAAGATGAAAACCTAGTGCCTCGGGTTGTGAGTGCTAAAGATGAGAAAGGCTCTGGTTGGTTGACTCCCTGTATGATTTTTTTTTTCTTTAAAAACTGAGGGAGAAAGCAGTGGTTTTTACACAAGAATTTTCCCCATCTCACTTAGCTACCACTCACTTTTTGCCTAATTTTGTCGCCTTCACTGGTTCAACCTTCCCACCCCCATAATTTAGATTCAGGGGTCTAAAAATCCTGGGAAACTATAAGAGTAAGGAACAATGATTTCTCCCAGAGAGACCCTATAGCACAAACCAAGCCCCAGCCAGAGGGCCATGTATTGGGTGGCATTATTTTTGACACTAAATTGCACTAAAACTCACAATCATTCTGATTTGTGAAATCTGAAAGAGTCCATATTTATTCAGCAGAAGGGGGTTGTAGATAAGAAACTACATTTTACTTTTCTCTGGGTTGCTGTTTTCTGTTTCTCCTGCTATTGTTATTGCCCTTCCCTGGGAACAACTTGGTGTGGGGGTGGGGTGAGGCTCACCATCATTTTTCTTTTGGTGTTGTTACTCTTGTTGTTTGAGGGACTGTAAGAGTAAACCAAGAAGACCTGTCTGGAAACCCAGGAAAGGGCAGGTTGGTTGTGAGTGGAGCACACCACTGGCATATGAGAAGAATCATGAGTTGTTTTTTTTTTTTTTTTTTTTTTTTTTTTTTTTTTTTTTTTTTGGGGATAGGGGTGCTTTTTGTTTTGTTTTGTTTGATTGTTTTCCTCCTGGAATAGTGGTGCTTGACTAGAAGGGGGAATGGGTCTATTTAAATTTTTAGGAGGTCTCTACTTACTTGATTTAGCTGAGGACAAGGGAGCTAACAATTAGATTTTTTTTACACTGTTTTCTATTAAAAAGAACCTTTGCTGATTATTTCGGAAGAAGCCTTGATTTAGAAGTGAAGAATCTGGGCACGCAAGGCGATTTGTTTGTCATTTTGCATTTTGTAAAGGAAGCTGATGCTTGCACTTTTTTTTTTTAAAGTCAACCCTTTGAATGTATTTACAAAATGAAATTCCTGGTTGAAACACTACAGAAAAGATATAAAGCAAGAGGTTTTGTGCTAAGGCTCATATTGTTACACATGTAAATAATGAAAATATTGTTATATATCCCCAGATCTTTTTAATGAATTTGGTTATTGTGTTCCGTTGTGGCACAAATGTCTTGTGCTTCCTAAGCCTTCCATTTGTTTCCTCCATCTCCTCCTCCCATTTCAACCCAAAGGAAAGTGGCGAAGTTCTGTCCCATCAACCTGGTTAGTTACAAACTAGGCCCATTTGTAGTTCTCAGTAGACTGTGGCTCCTGGGCTCTAGACCACCTCGTCCGCCCAGTCACCTTCCCCTGACAATTCTCTCCAATAAATAATTCAAGGTGTATTTAAAAATATAAGTAAATTTGCTGTTATTGCTCTGCATTTTCCCTCCTTAGTATTACCCAAGGATATTCTCTCTCTCTCTCTCTCTCTCTCTCTATCTTTCTCTCTTAGAGATTCCCTCTGCTTCCCAGTGGCCTCCGGTGTTTGCTCATCCCATGCTGATGATCTGTTTTGTATGAATGGTTTTCAACCTTCAGAGAATAATTGGTTCTTATATCAAATGCAGTATATACTCTTCATAATTTTATCACTGAGTGTAATATTTTAAATAATTTTAACAATTAAATTTGCTTTTTAAATTATATATTTGTAAAGTATTTATCCTGTTGGAAGCAACAATATATTGTTGTATTTATTCGTTTATTTTTGTAATAAATGATCAACGTCTTCAAGCTAAATCAAAAATGACACTTTTATATATCTATACAAAATGCATTTAAAGAGATGGGCACATTTGCACCAATTTGTATGTAAATAGAGTAAGAGCCACCAATAACTTGTAGCTTTCAGAACTAAATTGAAGGAAGAAACATTCTTTCCACATGGAGTTTAGTTTGCCCAAGTTCCAGGGTAATTAATCAACTCTGAAATAAATGCAACAGGTATTGGCAGTACATATAGGCTTGAAATTAGATATTTAGGATGCAGGTCTGCTTTTTTCCCCCACCCTCTTAAAATGGAAAGATATTAAAGAACTTTGTTCTTTCCCCGAAGATGCTGAGTTTCGGTGACAAACCCCCAAACACCTGGCTGTGCTTGACTTCTGTGTTGGGGGAAGGAGAAAGGCAGCTGAGAGTTCCAGTGTTTCAGAGATCCAGAGCAGGTGACGGACTGAACAGAGTAATGCCAGGCTTAACAGCAACAACCAAAATGTTTAGACCCTTTTAAAACGACCGAGGGTCGAGCCCCTCCTTCTCCGGTCCCGCTACAGACAGAAGTAATCAGTGCAGGTGTTGTTGTTAGCAGTGGTGCGTGAGAGAGTGGGGAGGAGGGGGCTTGCTTCGCTGGACCAGCCAGAGCTCTTTGCTTTGCTTGGCTGGCCATTGCAATTCCTCGGGGTTCCTAGTCCCTGGGCCTGAAGGTCGCCCATGTGACCTCCTGGCTGCGGGGAGCCCCAGGATAGGCTTGATCTTGATTTCAGTAAGGAAATCAGAGGGCTCTGTGTTTACCTCCTGAACTTTCCAGCCTAGGGAAGGAAATAGAGAGGAGTCTGGAAGAGCAGGGGGTGGGGGGAGGCGGAGATAGCAAGAGGGGTACTTGTGTAATCAGATTCTTTGATTTTGTTAGCCTGGCTCATGGCCTATTAATTAGATTACTCTCTCTTTCATTCTTGATTTCACATCCGTGTTTGTTCCTGTATCCTAAAATGTGGGCGCGAACTTGGCGAGCAGGAGCCTATGATGTCACTGCCGGCCAGTGGCGGCGGCCTGGCCTTCTGGTGGGCTGTGGGCTGCTTTCTTGATGAGCCCGCTTTTCCTCGAGGAAGAGTGGGGCTCTGGCAGTGACCTCAGAGGGGTCTGGGAAGAGGGCAACAGGCATTCTCCTGGCCGCTCCTGTGGGGTGTGTGTGTGTGTGTGTGTGTGTGTGTGTGTGTGTGTACGCGCACAAAGGGAAGGAATGGGAAAATTCAGTCAGGTCTGGACTGAGAAGCCCTAGGGACACTGGCGACTTAGTCAGGTGAAGGTTGGCCTCAGGTGAAAACCAGTGAGCACCGGAGGCGAGTGGGAGGGGTCTAGGCAGTTGGCAGCCAAAAGTCCGCTTCCCTCCCTGAGGGAGGGCCGTGCTGGGAGCCTAGGTAGGGTGGTGGCAGTGGCCGCGGGGGCGGCCCGGTTCAGGCTCGGCCCAGCAAGGCCCCGGTAGTCGAATGGTGGCAGCTGCTGCGGGTCGCACAAGTTGTTTTCCTCGTGGAGACCATTCAGCAAAAACGCAGGATCCTTTCTCAAAGATTTAAATTTCGCGGATGAATTACCATACACCGGTTGCTTAGCAACTAAATTCAAGCCGGGCTAAGAATATGCAAGCTTTTTGTATTCTCATTAATAAAAATGCCACTCTGACACAGCAACCCGACTTTGGATCACTGCAACTTCTGTAAAAGCCGTAGGAGAATACAAACCGATCCTGCCATTTAATTACAGATCAAAATGGCTTGAAACGTGATGTTTTGTTCATCTATCTTCCTAAAAGCGATGTAAAAAATAACGGCTTTCAAGAACAGTAGTAAATTTTCTTCTTCTTTTTAAATGGAGTTGTCTGTCGAGGTTACTGATAATTGTCAAGTGAAACCTCTTGAAATGTCCCTTTTCATCAACGTTTCTACTCTTTTCTCGAGTTCTTCCCCAAACTCAGTACTATTATTGTTATTGTGGAGATCCTCAGGCCTTGGACACCTTCGAGACTGTGGCTGTTGAGAAAGTAATCCACATGCCCACATTGGCTAGAGGAAGCCTGAGAAAAAAAGAGTACAGACAGGAAAAGTTGTGGAAGTTTTCTTGAAAGGCTGGAGGAGTTTGGAGGTCCGGTCTGTCACTTTCTGTCAGGCAGGTGGGAAGTAAAAGAGAAACGCCTGTTGTTCTTAGATTTTCTGTTCTGGGGTCGTGAGTCTGCCTCCTGCTTACTGAGAGTTGAATTTAGGGCCTTGCTGACCAGGACTTTCCCAGAAATTCTCCTCCCAGCTTCTCTCGGCCGAGGAGCTTGGGGCCCCGACAAAGTAAAGACTCTTGACTCCCTGGGTCTTCAAAGAACAGGGCCCAGGCCTAGAGCCAGAGATTTATTGTATTCAAGGGGCAAACTTCGCGCCTCTCCCAAAGGATGCTGCCCGTGAAGGGTGATGCGTCGCTTTAGAAGAGAGTTCCGAACGACTTCTTTTGAAACATTCCAAAAGTTGAGGGTGAGGCAGTCAGGGCAGCCTGACCTTGTGCAGGCAGGCCTTGTTGTTTGGGAGTGTATGCGAGTCTTGGCTGCTGGGACTGTGGAGCAGCGGGAGTCAGGGCTGTGTGCTTTGTGGAAGTTTTGGGCCCTTGCTGGCCTTTCCCAGCGTGGAGTTCTTGAATAGCCCTGAATGCTTGGACAGGCCTTGGCTTTTCTTGGCTTCTCTTGGGCCACAAGGACGCCGAGGTGGCCAGGCTGTTACCAGATCACCTAAAGCACGGGATCTCAGCTGGGACACTGGGGACCCCTAGGCCTACCATACCCAATGTCTTATGCAGCCTGAGCCCTGACGGTATGCCAATCGGCTTGTGTGTACCCAATGTCCCACCAGGAAAGATTCATGCTGACTTTGCTTCGAAACTCACAAAATGTGGAGGAGCTTAGCTTTAGATAAAACAGCGGTAAAAATGTGAAGCCCTCAACACACACACACACACACACACACACACACACAAAGGCTCCGGTCATATTCCCAGAGAACCAGCCCCCCCACCCACCACCCACCCCCGCAGTCCTTAAAATTTTGCAAACGGGAAACCTGAGAGGAGACGCGTCCCCAGGTCATCCTGGCAAAGCAGAAATTGGGAACCTCACAACTGACTAGATGCAGCCGGACTTAAGGGGAGCAAAGGCAAATGGTTTACCCTCTTTTCTAGAGTGTTAACAAGGCAATACAGCTTCTTTTTTTCCTTTTGAATTAAAAAAGATACATAATAAACAATGACCTGTTTACTTACAAATACAGTCGTGTGCCCCCCCCCCCCAAGCCATATTCTGTATGTAAGTCACTAATGGACCCTGGTGATTTTTCCTTCTACTTTGGAAACATTGTTAGCTCTTTGAAAAGAAGGGGGCAGTCTTCCTGTTGCTTGAAAAAAAAAGTAGCAAGTACTTGGACAGTTTCTGTCTGTGGATACATTTAACACTATGAAATAACCTTCTAAAATACATGAGAAGGGGTTTTCTCTTTGACTCTTCGGTTGTGTGTTGGGCATCGGTGAGTGGCCCAGTGGGGAATGTGAGGTAATGTGACCCTCTCATGTGTGCTTTTCTTGGAGACACAACGACAGAAGGAAACTTTAAATAACTGGAGTTGGCTAAGAATATGAGGAGTAAAAGATCTCTGGTTTCCAGAGTTTAGGGACTGTCTATGGGATGCAGTGTGGTGCGTTACTCAGGCTGCCTCCTTCTTACAGGGATGGGGAAGCAAGTGTGGAAGTGTTACTTACTTGGGGCACAAGGCTCATCTTTTTAATTTGGACTTTCCTTCAAGTGTTGCCCCACCCTCTGGTAAGAACAGTTCAGGGGAAGGCACAGGACACATCTAGACTGTGACTGTGGCTCTGTAAGTCCCTGATACTAGACGACTTACAAGAGACAAATGATGGGCCAGACACTGCATGAGGGAAGCACAAGCATCTTTTAATTCTTTTTCCTTCCTTCCTTTCTTTCTTTCTTTCTTTCTTTGTTTTCTTTTTAATGAACAAGAGATATTTTGTTGAAGCATGTCCAGGAGCTCAGGAATGATGTGCCCCCCAGGACAGGCTCTCAGCAGAAGGTGGATCCCGGATCATTGGCTTGAACTTTGCACACTGAAACAAAACAGATACTGGTTTCCAAAGGCTCCCAAGTCAGCACTAGAATGAAAAGTGTCAAATCTCATTCTACCCAGGTCAGACACAGCCCCCACCTCTTTGAGCAGAAGCCAAGCTGGCAGGCTCTCAGGACCCCTGAAATGGGCTGGCAGGGAAGGGGTTAGCTTTTCATTTATATTTTCAAGTCTGAAAAACCCACCTGCACAGTTAAAGAAAAATTCAATAGATCTCATCAGAAAGTGGACCGGCACCCCAAAAATAGCAAAAGGAAAATAAAAGTCTTAGTGGTTTGGCCTCAAGACTCTCCTGACTTACAATGGTAAAAAGGCAAGTCAGTAAACAAAATAGAACCATTTGCAATGAACACTTTTAAGGAGAGAGGTCTTTCAAATTTTAAAATTGCACCAGCAAGTCTAATTTCTATGTTGTATCCCCTGAAGATTTCTACCCAGAAGGGCTTTTAAAAATTCTCAACCCCAAGAGAAAGACCTTTAACCTCTTCCAAGAGCTATTTAATAGCTGTCCCATGTGTTTTTTGTTTTCTGCAGTGATGAGAACACAGGGCCTTGCAAATGCTAGGTAAGATGGAGCCAGCTTCGAGGTGTGTGCGGGGAGGGGCTTCCTTTAAACACTCTCCCTCTGAGATGAATCACCAACCCTTGTCCTCAATGCTTTTAACAAGAGAGGTGTGCCTGGCTGTCAGCCTCAACTGTGCAGTCTTGGGGGATTAGAAGTGTTAGGCACCCAAAGGCACAGAGCAGCTAGTATCTGAAATGGGATTTCTGCTCCTCAAAGAGGGGGGGCTGGCAAGGTCAGCAGTAGTGGGCCTGTTCCCCCAGGCTCTCCTGGGGGTCTCAAAGAAGAAGCCTGCAGAGGGGCGATGGAAGTGAGGAGCCAGGAGACCAAAAGAGAAATCACTTACCTCAACCCTTTGTTCTGGAGTGTGAGCTAGGGCATCAGAGGGAAACAAAAGCCCCCAGAGAATGAGGCTTCTGCTTCATTTGTATCTCCCCGGACCCTTACCAGAAAACCAGGCTGGTTGGCTGGGGTCAAAAATAAATAAAGAAAAGGCAACTTGAGGGATCTTTACCTTACAGATACACCATCGGCAGGGAGAGGTACATACACTTGATTTTCTCCAAGTGACTGTGTGGTGTGCAGGTAGAAAGGCCTGGAAAAGAAACAGGAAAACAAATGGAATAGGAAGGCTTGGGGTGGGGGTGGGGTAGGGGGTAGCTGTATAGGACCAGTGTGCATGCAGAGCTGGTGTGTATGCAAATAGTTGTATTTCTACCCTCTGTGTACCAGAGCACCCTTCGCGGATCCTGCTTAACCCTGTACCCTGACTCAGGGGGATTTATACTTATAACAACTGAGTGGAAAGCAATTGTACCCACAAATCCTGCAAGCTGACTGCCATTGGCAAGTGCCAGCCAGGTAGTACAGAGCTTGGCATCCTCAATCAGCGAGCTCTTTCTGCCTTGAGCCTTACCAGGGGAGGACAGGTGTCTTCCTCTCTTTTGAACCCTGTGGGTGTCAAGCTCAGTTGTCCCTGCCATGCTAGGAACGCTTACTTCTTCATCAGGCTACTGGACTGGAATGTGTAACAGCATGAGGAGGAGGTCACTTTCAAAATGCATTTTTGTAAGGATGGGGGTGGAGAGCCCATCCTAAAGGCCATACAAACCATGTTTATCTGCCCTGACCTGGGGAGAGATTTTAAATAGGGGGCAAGTATCTGGTAGGATGCTATGGACCCCAGGAAGATTCTCCTCTGCGGGGTAGGGAGGGAAGATAGTGAGGGGTCTGTAAGAGCTGCTGAAGGCTTGCTCTAACAAAGCTCTAACAAAGGCTTCCTGCAAGCTTACTCTCAAGGCACTTTCAAAAACCACACACCTAGCAGGCATGTCCCCAGGTCCCAGGGTATGGAGCAGATTGATCATTCAGACAGGGAGACGATGTCAATGGTGTGTGGCTGGCTGCCTGGGGGTGGGGGGACTCAGCCTAAGAGTCCTGTTAACCCACAAGCTTCTAGGGACCTGGGTGCATGGTTGTGCCTGGGCCTTGGGGACTTATTTCTAGCTCATCTCCCAGACAGTTCAGCAAGGCTGAGGCCGAAGCCCTGCGGAGGAATAAGACTTGCTCTTGGTTGTCTTGGTAAGGTTGAGGGTAGCTTTGACTCAAAGAAGCCTCCTTGCTGAGTAAGAGGAAGAAGGCTCACAAATGGAGAAGGTTCCTTGGGTTAGGTGGGTGTCTGAGTCAGGATGGCCTTTGCAGGAAAAGAGCAGGCTGCTGTGGAAAAGATGTTCCCGTACCATGAGCTGGACCGTAGGCATCTCCAAGCCATTAAGCCCATTACTTGGCTATTGCTTTCGCAGCACAGCGAGAGACTTGCAGGACTGAAATCTACATGGGGCAAGTGGGAGAAAAAGAGAAAGAAACCATCACAACAAACTACCTTAAAGACCATAGCTGTACATCCCCACAATGAAAAGTAAGGCCCAGGTGCAGCTTCCATACCCGCCTCCAAGTCGGTAGCTGCAGCATCTCTTTAGGAACCACAGAGCAGCTCAGCGCACAACAAGCAGATAATGAGGCCTTCAGAGCTGGAGTTCAAGGCCAGGAGCAGGTACAAAAATGCCACAGATGTTACTCCTTACACGACAAGGTAGGTGCTGAAGATACAACTCTAGGAAAAGATCTGACGTGTGTGTGTGTGTGTGTGTGTGTGTGTGTGTGTGTGTGTGAAATACAGTCAGTGATTGTTCCTTCCCTTTCTAGAAAAGGTGTTCCCTTTCCTAATTCAACCCAAACAGAAGCCCTAGAGACTGCCACAGACCTCCGGTCCAGCAGAGCCTCCTAACTCCCCTGAGGAACCCCATTCCCAAAGCTAACCCCCCAGACTCCTCACCCTCTTTCTTTTCTCACAGGCCTGGGCAGTGCTGAGCCACCCCAGGAATGGCCTCAGCAGGATTTTCTAGACATTTCTGCCAGGGAGAAAGTCTTGGTGAGATTTCAGGAGGCAGTGACTGACGTGGACTCCACCCTTGGCTGTATCCAAATACAAATGAGACGCATTTTGGCTGATCAGTCCAATGTAGTTCATGAAACTGTCTTGTCAAATTTTCTAGTCAAAAATAATAGAAGAAGAAGAAGAAGAAGAAGAAGAAGAAGAAGAAGAAGAAGAACACTGTAAAGATCTTACATGTGGAGTTTCCATACAAAGAGCCAGGTGGGCAGGGACGGGAAGCTAGCTGCAAACAGCATCCAACAAACCCTCCTAAAGTGTAACCTCATGCCACAAAGGAGAAAAAGAGGTGAAAATGATTCTGGTTGCCTGCGAGACACCCCGATAAAAGTAAATGGGCTCTAGCTAGGGAAATCTTTAAAGCTGTAGAATTTTGTTCTTAGAAAACATTTGTTTTCATAGACTTGGGTTGCTAGGGATGGGTCAGCCTCCCCCTAGCTTACCTGGCATCCTGAACCACCATGCAAGAGCCACTTATGAGGATAGTATAGTGATGAATAGGTTTTCTGGCCTAACCTAATCCTAATCTGAAAGATGGGAGCTCGCCTCCCTTCTTGTCTATTTCCAAAGCTTCTAAGTTCGAGAAACCCCAGATTCTCCCACCAGGTATTCTGAGAGGTAGGTCCTATCAGGCTCTGGTGCTGTGGACCTCTTTGGATTGGGGATGGGGGTGAGGACAAGTGTGAGGACCAGTTTTACTGGTCACTTTGGGAGAGCTCTGGTCTTTCCTCTATCCTAGAATCCTAGAATGCTCGAGACAAGTGGATTAGACCACAGACCCATCAGATCTAGGGTAACATCACTCCCATCTCCTTAGCCTCAGGACATTCCTGGTCTTCAATTTGTCCAAAACTACCGATTGTTTTTTTTTTCCTTCCCTGCCCCCAAGCCCTGCTCCACTCCACCATGGACTTGGTAGGGAGGCTCCAGAGCCCCCAGGAGCCCTGTTGTATCCTCCAGTTCACTCTCTCATGGCATCCACAGGGAATTTGTTCTCAGGACACTTAGGGACAGAGGGAATTTGCTGCTGACCTGGACACTCTGTTGTTGAGCTGTGCCCCTGGGGTGAGCTGCCCACTGAAAGCAGCACTAGTTTTACTTTCAGGACCCCACTCAGGGTACTAACAGTCTAAGCTAGACCAAAAAAAAAAAAAGTATTGTCCCTGGGGAACCACTGAAGAGAAAATTCGAAGCATCATCCCATTCAAAGGAAGTTTAGGTTTCAGGACCCTTTAGATACCAAAGAAAAAAGAGAATTCCACGCCGTCCTCTTACCTGTTGCCTGCTGAGGTTACTGTCCTTGCCTGCAGTATTTTTTGGCCATCCCACCATGAGCGACACCCCACTGCCCGGCAATTAACTCTGACATAACAGAAGTGAGGAGGGGGTCCATGGGCTTCACTTAAGGGAAGAGGCCACCCAGAGCTCCAAAATAATCAAAAGCTTTAGTGCTGCTGAGAGAGGACCTGTTAATCCCAAGCAGGTCAAGGGTGGGCCACACAGCCTAGGCATCTATGCCCATATCACCCTGGCAACCTGGCAGGTACATCGGAACCAGATGCACCCTGGTGTTATGGGCTTCCACCCAGGAGCTGAGGTGCTGGGCAGATGTCTTGAGCAAGACAGACTTCAATTTCGTTGCACGAACACTCCCAATGCTCTAGAAAGCCAAGAGGAGGGACACTATGAGCAGAGGCGACATACAAGATAAACTGCCCCCTCCAACTGCTCAGCTCACCTGCTTCTGAGAGGTAGAAGGACCTGTGTTAAGTTGCCCCCCCCCCTTTCTAACTGTGGACTTGAAGAGCAATTTAATTCCCTCCTTTGCTCCATGCCTCCCCTGCACACACACAACTGAGCGTGGTTCTCCACTTGGGGATAACAAGAGGCTGGCAAAGAGACAGAGAGAAGTGGCAGATGGCCTCCTGGAAAAAGCAGGCCCAGCCACACAGTAGCCCTGAAACTGATAAACTCCTCTGATACTTGCCCCTCTTCAGACAACCACTCTGTTCCTTTCATCTGACTCACCAGAGGCCCTCGAGTTCACCAGCTAAAACCACCAAAAACATAGCACTAGTTCTTCGTTTTCTCCTAGGTCTCTTTCATGCTCTCGTTCTCCCCACTCCCACCCAGGCAGGCCTCGCCCCATCTGAAGTAAGAAGTTAAAACAACTTGTTCTTTTAAATGACCTCCGGTCTTCGCCACTACCAGAACACTGGAAGAGCATGTACCCTCACCTTGCCCCAAGTCCACTTCCAAATCAAGTCGGTTGTAACCACCATCATCAATGACACTCTGCAGAACTTGACAGGATCTGAAATCAAGGTTCCTTTACTTACCAGAAGTAGCAACGAACTTTACTGAAAGAAACAAATTCAGCATTGACAAGGAACACACACACACACACACACACACACACACACACTCCTTAAAACATCATGTAGTTTTCTAACTTCCTGCGGGTTTAGGGGAGGGATGATGTAAAAAATCTTAGGCAGCCGATTTTAAAAATCACTTGATTGTATTGTCCTAGTTTGAAGTTCTCTACTATAATCGTAAGTAATAAAGTCGTTAATAGGCATAATTGGTATCTCGTTGATCCATGTAACTGGTGCTTTATTGGTGACCCAACTTAGTTTTGTGGCAAAATACAGGTGGTTTAGGATCCGTAAAAGGAAGCTAGTCATTTTCAGGCAACTTTCCCCAGCAGAAGGCAAAGTGCAGATAGACATCTGTCTCACACATTCGCTCCTCTGCTTTTCTGTACACTTAAGAATAAACAGTACATATCTGGGTTTTGATTTCTCTAGATGAGGTCATAAAGTACCGTGTGTGCGTGCGTGTGTGTGTGTGTGTGTGTGTGTGTGTGTGACTGAAGATTCATGGCTATCGTGGCTATCATCATGCACGTTAAAAACAGCGAAGAACTCGGTGTAAACAGAGAAGGAACGGGCTCGCTAGTGAGATCAAGTGTCTGACCAAGTTCACTTTCCACCCCTTCGCAGGAAGAGGGTCGGTCACCCGCTGAAAGCGAAAGCTCTGGGGATTTGGAAGAGCACCCCGCAGACATCCTGGGTTCTGGGGCTTTCTCCCAGCACTCCCACCCATACCCCGCTTCAAAGTCCTTCTGCAGGACTTGGTGATTCAGGGTGCCCAGTGCGGGCTAGCTTCCCGGAGCTCTCCTTGCCCAGTGCTGGCTCAGCAACGCCCTGGACTCACCCGGTGCGGTAGGTCCACTCCCTCCAGACTAGAAACGGATCCCCAGTTGGGCAGTGCGGGAAGCCACGTCTCAGCAATGTCAACCCCCACCGCGTAGCTTGCCTGAATCTGGGCTCCAGAGGAGCCGAAGTCGGGCAGCCACCGGCGGTGGGGGCAGGGAGGCCCGGGAGAGCCTCAGCCTCCAGCTGGGTTGCGGCTTTCTTATGGAAATGACCCGAGCCCGCCTGCTGGACCCGAGCGAGTCCCCTGGTCCCCAGTCTTCTCTCTGCTAAGCTTTTCCTCCCGGCAAACCCTTGTCCTCCGCGTCTTACCCTAGCGGGACGGGTGGCGATGAGCGAGCTGTGCGCCCCGGCCGTAGAGTCGGGGCCGGGTCTCCCCCTCGGCCCGACGGGCTTCAGTTCCACATTAAATATTCATAGCAATCGCTACTTTCTTAAAGGGGAACCCACCGCGCGGGAAAGTTCCCAGCCAAGGGAACTCACAAAGGAAGGTGTCCGCTCCCTCTAGTTCTGGGGGTGGCTCGGCGCACAGCTCCTAGCGCTCCGCTCCGACAGACAGAGAAGGGAAGGGCCAAAGTACCCGCTCTCCTACTGTCACGATATTTCTTGTAGAGTGTGAGAGACGAGGTGAGCTTGGAAAGCTGATCATTGTTTACATAATTACTTGAACATGAGGGGTCACATTGAACGCTTTTGGGGTTTCCAAAACATTTCGTTATTTTCTTTCATTTCATGATTTTAAAAGGAAGGTGGTTTAACTTCATTCGGGCGTCATCGGCCCCGAGGACCAGAAAGTAAGTTTGCCCTGTATTGTTTGTTGGAAAGAGGCATTCAGCGAACTTATAAAACCTCACACGGAGAAACCGTTTCACTGGAGAGCACCTGCCCCAAGTTCTAAAAGTGATCCTGGGCTGCCGTGCAGAGCTGGGGCTTGAGGGCTCAGAACCTGTGTGGGGTGTGCTTGGGGAGAATTGATTTGAACCCCAGCTCCACTGCTCAGTGCCCGGCCTCTTTCTTCCAGGAGCTCAGAGGGCCTGCGTGGTGTGCGGTCCCCGGGCTTCCCAAGGCCGAAACTCATCTGCTTGACTCCTCAACCGGGCCCAGGAGAAAACCGAGGCGGGAAATGGAGAGGAAGCAGTGAAAGTTCTGAGCCCACTGCGAAGGCCGGGCCTGGGATGCACCCCGCCTGGGGCCAGCTGACCCGTGACTGCTCCTCGCGGTGCCAGGCGACGCCCGCGCCTTGTGTCCCGTCCCTTCCACCGTCCCCCCTCCCCCCTCCCCGCCCCGCCACCACCCCCTTCCCTGCGCACGCCCACTCCACACACTCTCACTCCCAAGGGCTCTTTTTGTTCCAGGCCAGGAGCACTTTCACAAATGGTTAGAAAGTCTTGAGCGCCATCTAACGGGAGCAGCAAAAAGTTGAAAGTGGGTGGAGGTTAAGACCCCAGGCTGGGCGCGGGAGAGTCCCATCCATAACTCTATGGGCACTCTGGGGCCTTGACACCTCTCCTCTTCCTCCTACGACACGTAACTCTGTCGGACTCTGGAACTCCAGGCTTGTCCTCCCCGATCCCCGAAGCTCACCTTCTCAGGGTCCTGGGGCAGGTGTGGGCTCCTTGCTTGCGTCCTTTTCCACTCCAGGTTGGACTGCTTGCCTGGTTTCCCTTGGACACGTCTGCCTGAATAGGACCCCTGTATCATTTAAAGTCTTCAGAGCTTTGATTTTGGCCTGGGATAGACAGTCTCACGAATTTGGATAAGGTGCACCAGTTTTGTGAAATGAAAGTCCCAAGCCGAAGCTTCTGCAGACAGGACGAAGCAGAAGGCAGGTGAATAAAGTTAACTGCAGCCAATACAAAGGAAAGTGTGCAGCCTGACACTGAGAGATGTAGCCTGACAGCGGCTCTAGAAGAGCTGAAGCCCGTCTCCAGGAAAGAAGGTGGATCCTGAAAAGCTGCCCAGGGGTTTGAAAGCAGCCAGACTGGTGGCTCACAAGGGATGCAAGTCAGGAAGGATGCTGCCCCTGGGGGTGTAGCTGAAGGAGTGTTGTGTGATAGGCTTTTCCTGGGGAGCTGCAACAGGTGCTGCTCACCCCAGAAAGGGACCCCACGACAGACCAAGGAAATGACTGCCCCAATGTCCAATTTGGTGAATCAACGAGTTTCTTTTTTAAGTTAGGGTTACTTAATGGGATTACAAATGAGGGGTTAGTTAAGGGTGGGAGGGGGTAAATAAAAGGCAGTGAGGCGACTTCACAGCAAGTCAACACCATAACAGGACACAGATGAACGCTGCAACCTTGCAGCTCTTTGCACAGTGGGAACATCTCTTTCTCTGAAGTTTGGCTGGTTAGAGCCCCGCACAACCCCCACCTCCGCTGCCCTAGCAACTGTTTAGCTCCCTTTTTATTGTTTTAGGGGAACCTCAAAGATCCTCCAAGTTTTTTTTTTATATCCTCCACATGTGACCTCTGGTTTACCTACTGATGCCTGTGAGCCTTACCTTCTCTTCTGAAGCGAAAGCTTCAGTTTGGAGGGAACATACCCTATGAAAAGGTCATCTAGACATCCCCTTTCACCCCCACCTCACCAAGGATTCCTAGCCAATGTGAGAGTCGAGCCTCATGGGAAGTTCAAAATGGGGTCTTTCTAGTCAGGGCAGAGTACACTGGAAGGTATCCTGAAGACTGTGTAGGTGGGTGACAGAAAGGCTTGACCAGCTGAGAAACCAGGGAGAGAAGAAGAGGTGACCATCAGGCCCATACCATCCTCCAGTCACAAGACTCCAAGACTTTCTTCACACAGGAACTTTCTCCACACCTCAAGTCAAAAAAAAAAAAACCAAACCAAAACAACAACAACAACAAAACCCAAGACACAATAAAAACCAAAAAGCTACATAGATGGGCAGTATAGAGGTTCTCTGACCACCTTCTGGGGTCTCCAGAGGTCATTAGAAAATCTGTTTCTCCTCCTTGCTGGGTGTTATGAAGGTAGTAAATGTTATGGTGATAAAATATGTGTGGCATAAAAACTTGGCATCTTTTTCTTCTAAGTGCAAGTGTGACGGTCCAGTTGGAACACACACATTCATATTGCTGAGCAACGCCACCAATTACCCATTTCCAGAAGTATCATTGTACTTCCCATAGCCCCTCCACCCAGCCCCTGGCGAGGTCTACAAATTCGACTTCATCTCCATAGAGCCCAGACAACATTCATCTTTTTCTATGATTTATTTGACTTTGTGTAATGTCGACCTTTTATCCGTATTATACCATATCCCAGCATTTTCTCCCCATTTAAAGACCATCTCGCTTCTTTATCCATCTATGGATGGATTCTTGGTTTTCCTCTCGTGTTTTATGAATAGTGATGCTGCTGTGTGCATAGGTGAAAAGAAACCTCAAGTTCCTGCTTTTAACTTTTGGGTCTATACCCTGAAACAAAATTGCTAGGTACTATGACAATCCTCTTAAGAACACTTTGAGGGACCTCATGGTGTTTTCCACAACTGCTGCATCCTCATTTTACCTCATCCACAGTCCACAGAGATTCTGGTTTTTCCACAGTGGTGCAACGCTTGCCAGTTTCTGTCCTTTCAAATGTAGCCATTGTAACTGCTATAAAGTAATACCATGCGCAGATTCTAAAACATTTCTCTCCACCACCCCACCCCACCCCCGCCTTTTCTTTTGAGATAAACTGACTTCAAGCTTCTCTCTCTCCTATCTTTATCTCCTAAGTCCTGGGATGGCCATCTTGAAATATTTTTAGATGTAAATACAAAAGCATAACGGAGACTGGGCATGGTGGGCAAAGGCCTGTAATCTTTGCACCTCTGGAAGCAGAGGCAGGAAATCCAAGCCAGCCAGAGCCACAGAGAGACGGTGTATCAAGCAAACAAACAAGCAAAAATCAAACTGAAACCAAATTCACAAAGGAACCTGAAACCAAATGAGATGACATCACCAAAGCAGTTAATGTATCTATCTATCTATCGATAGATAGATAGATAGATAGATAGATAGATAATCACATTCAGTACTAGAGAATGAACACACGAGCTCACGAGTACTAGGAAAACACTGTCATTGAGCTTTATCCCCAAGACAGGCTCTTTCTATATTGACCAGGGTGGCCTGAAATGTATAGCCTCCCAAATGTCTGGGATTCCAGGTCTCTAGCAAAAGCCTTTCTAAAAATACAAAGTATCCATAGGTTAAGCCAGCAAAAATATCTCAGTAATGATAAGGATTTTCAGTCTCTGGCCTTTGGAATTTATGTCTAGGAACAACAAGAAGAGAAACAATTAAGACAGAGGAGCAAATAGAATGGTTTTTTTTTTTTTGATGATCACATTTTGATCCATTCTTCCAATAGGAAGCCAGAGAATTGTGGGGGCGTATTATTAGTAAGCCCTATTCATTTCTTTGTTCCTAGAAGGAGACCTTCCTGAGATAGAGAGAATGGGGGGGGGGGGTACTTGTCTTCCTAGATTCTTTGATGTATTCAAATTGAAAATGAGAGAGACTGCAAGTGGCCCAGACTTTGGCTGTGTGGGTACCTGGTGGAAATCTTTGAAGTCCCCTTTCCTAGAAAAGAGCTGAGAAATGGCAAGGTAGCCACTTCAGGAGACACGATGGTGTTCTGTGGCAGGATCCCCTGTGAGGAGTCCCTCAGCACAGTTCTCGGGACTGTGCTTGTGGTACCCTCATGCCAGCCTTGTTTAGTATTTGTGTGAGGCATACCAACAAAGTGCCCTATTATTCTTTTATTTCCCCCTTTTTTATATTAGCCATTTCTTTTTACAGCCTGGGGAGCCAGGTTAGTGCTTTTATTTCCCACGTGTAAAAGAAAGTGTCAAGAATGGGCACAAGATAAGAAATGGAACAGGTTGTGATGACAGGGTCATGACTGGGGGCTCCCAGCCGGGGCTGCAGCTTAGCACGCTGAACTACACTCTTCTGTTACTGCACAGGGTGCTTGACTCAGGGCAGAGATGAAAGAAACAGGAGCAGCAAGACTTGGCAGTGACCACCACCTCCTCTCTGCCACCAGGCTGATTGCAGCACTTGCAGGCTGGGGGTGGGGGGGTGGGGTGGGGGAGTGAGGGTTCTGGGACAGGGTGCAGGAAGCTTGAAGGGGGTTGGGAGCCCCCTTGGGGCAGGAGGCTGTGGAAGCAGTCCCTGGTACCTCAGCTCTGAGCACTTGTCTGGCCCTCCCCTTTAATTGCTGTGTCTGCTCTCCAGAGAGAAGGATGATACTTTGCCTCAGGAGGCTCTGTGACTTAAAACAAA